CTCTTGAGTTGAATTAAGTAATCGGTTGACTTCAATCTTTTACTCCCTCCATCCCACTGTCTTTGTCCACTTACCTTTTGGCACACCATCCAATGCACTTCTTTAATCCATTTTATCTTGTAATTTGTATATTAAAAAATTATAGAAATTATATATTAATAATCTATATGTTAAGACGAATCAAACAAGATCACACATGACTATTTTTAGGCTTACACATTGAGAGAATTTGATGAGTCAAAGTGCTTAGATTAACAGTTCCAAAAGTCAAATATGGACAAAGACAGTGGGACGGAGGTAGTAATATAATTCAACTCAAGTGTCTCATTACTATTGTCCAATCCGATCGATGATCCCTACCTCATCTTAAATTTATCAAGAAACACTTCACAATATATATATATATATATATATATATATATATATATATATATATATATATATATATATATATATATATATATATATATATATATTCATTTCTTTTTAAATAAAAAAGGGAATAACTCACAAGTCACAACTTTTCTATCTTCTCTAAATGAATTATTACTATAAATTTTTTACCTTTGAGATACTTTGTTTTAAATAAACATTTCCACATTTGATAAACTTGGTATTTAGGAAAAGTATGAGTTGAATGTTATTTTTCCCATCTTACCCTTATTTTATGGTTGAGTAGAATAATACTCCTTTCCAAAAATGTTTGTCATCCACATCATGTAAAACCAAACAAATTTTGATTTTTTTCAGTCAATTTTATTTAAAGGTGGTATAGAAATAAAAATTAAATTTATGTATTTAAAAATTACTCCCTCCGTCCGGAAATATTCTTCCCATTTTTCTTTTTGGTCCGTCCGGAAATATTCTTCACATTTCCTTTTTTAGTATACTTTTTAAGGCTAAATATCAATAATATCCTTTTATTTTATCACAAAACTACTTTTTTAGTACTTTTTTAATAATAAAAGGAGATTTAAAAGTTTATAGTATGTGCATTTTTGAAAATTTTGCATTTTTTTACTATTTCTTAATAAGCGTGCCAAGTCAACACGGGAAGAACATTTCCGGACGGAGGGAGTACATAAAAAAACTTTCAAAACAAGAGGAGACAAGAATATTTTATTTTATCAAATAAACAAACTTTCCCGTGAATTTTTAATAATGAATGGTATGGTGGCATTCTTCTTTGTAAGAGGGGGTACGAGTTATTTATCCCGTGATCGATGTGCTGTTATATTAACAACTAATATTGGTAAATACTCAGTAAGTGATTTTGAGACAGATGAAAAAGAAAAATAAAATTGTAGAAGAGAAGTTAAAATATCATAAAAATAAAACAAGTGGATCTTGTTGTTCCTTGTGAAGATAAGAAACAATGAAAAAGAGGAAAAAGTTTAAAGAATTATCCATATTTAACTTACAATATATATGATCGCCCGATCATCACAAGTTAGCAGATGAAGTAGACGTCCATAGGGATCGCATCGCTCCCAAACATGATTTTACTCCACTCTCAACACCAAATGTACTTTTGGTGTATTATATATACGTAAGGGAGCAATGCGATCCCTTTGGACGTCTGCTAGTTCCATCGCCATGAAAGCAAAGCAGCTTCTTTTTGTTCATCTGAGAATTCTTCTAATAACCTTTATATATATATTGAGATGGGGTTGAGAGAGACAAGAGAAAGTGGTGAATGTAAGAGATGATGAGAATGGAAGGAAATGGAGCAGTGGTTTATATAGTGCACAAAAGCTTTGTGGTGGCTGCCTGTGTGGTAGTACAACCCTCTCATGTATGTATTGCTCATTTTATAGTGTTTGGAATCAAATACCAAATCATTAATACTCTTTCCCCTTTTTAAAACAGTTTCTCTTTTATTTTTTTTTGTTTTTTAAAATATTTCTCTATTTTTTTTTGTAAAAAGTGATTAATATATCAAATAAAGTCGTGGTAATATACTTTATTCATCTTGCACTGATATAGTAAGTTACTTTGAGTGATTTGTCTCTTTTTTTCATTCAACTCTAAGATAAAATTAAAAATTCAAATTATGAAAATAATTCTATGAAAAATCAAAACAAGAACTGCTTTTGCAAACGGAGGTAGTACAATATTATATTCAATTTATTATATTGTTAGAGCATAAAAATATTCCGCCACCTACATACAATCACAAGTTTTACTTTTTTTTATTGAGTTGTTAAAAGAATGTTTTCCGTGAATCTTTCCTTCATAGCTCATTGATATTTATACCCGTATACAAGGAATAATCTTGGCATACATTTAGGCAATAAACTAGGAAACTGATCCTATAAACAAGGTAACAATACATATACACTTTGACTAAGCTAATTATTTACATAATTATCTTAACACACCCCCGTAGTCAAAGCAGGAGGGCCACGGATGCTGAGACTATCCTTAAACTCTGCAAACAATATACGTGGAAGCCCCTTAGTAAATATGTCCGCAATTTGATGTCGAGTAGGAATATGGAGAACCCGAACATCACCACGCGCAACTTTCTCCCTAACAAAGAGTATATCCATCTCGATGTGTTTGGTTCTTTGATGATGAACGGGATTACCTGAGAGATATATGGCGCTTACATTGTCACAATATACTAAAGTCGCTTTCCTTAGGGGACAATGTAATTCAAGTAACAAATTTCGAAGCCAGCAAGATTCGGATACCACATTTGCTACTCCCCTATACTC